AAGAATGCTCTACTTGTAAAGTGAAAAAGAGCGCTGTCTTTGTTTGTAAATTTATGTATGCAAGCGAGGGAAGATAATTGTCCCTGTCAAGACTATCTGGTCTGTCAAGAGTTAGTAATAGCAATGAGTTTAGGCAAATGGATAGATATGAGTTAGGAATAAAACGGTGTGTATGCAAAAAACGGGTATCTCTGCCTTTTTTACTTTCTCGTATATACGAAGTATAGAGAAACTCTTGTAATCGTGCAAAAAAAAATCCAGATTTTTACAAATCTCGACGTTTTACACCTCACTGATACGGAAAAACATAATTTTGCAATCTTGTCCGTGTCTGTCTGTCTGTCCGTATGTAAACACAATAACTTGAGTACCGTTACAGCTAGGTTGATGAAATTTCATATATAAGTATTTTATCAAAATCGTAGATCCGTATCAACTTTTGAGCGATTTCCGATAACCGGAAGTGGTACTTTTCCTACTTTGAATTTTTCGAAAGCCTATAACTATTTCAGAGAGATAAATGAAATTTTACATGTAAGTAAAAGATCTAATTCTCTACCTTCTGTTAAATTTACACTAATTTCCGTTGATCGGAAGTAGTAATTTACGCTTCTTCCGATTTCTCAAAAAACTAATGTAAATTTTTAAAGTACTAATAATATTGCGCACTATTAATTCACTTTTTTATTTAGCGTTCACTCGGTGTGCAATTCTTTTGTCTACGAGATTTTATTCTATTTTTAAAACTTTAAGTATTTAAAATGGATTAAAAATCATGTCTATAGCCCGAGTTCCCATCCCCTGTTATTTTATATAAAAATATTCGAGAAAGTTTAGGGGAGATCACTCCCGGTTTATTTATAAAGGAAATGTATACAGTCCTTTCATATGACGTCACGTCCGTTCGTGGATGTAAGCATCCACCATCTCGGTGTACAGATCTATATTGAAAATGGTGATCTGTGCGGTGAAAGGTTGTGATACTCGAAGTGGCAGATCTAAAGGGATTCTTTTATTTCGACTGCCAAGGGTTATATTAAACCAAGATGCTAGAGATCGACAGTTAACAGAACGTAGACGCCGTCAATTTTTAGACAATATTTATCGCAGCGGTGTGAGTGAAGCAGCGGCAAGGCGCAACAAAGAAAATAGTGTTTTAACGTCTAGATCTAGAATCTAGCTCTAAACATAGCGTAAACATAATTCGGACCACAGATCTAGATTCTGGATTTAGGGTGACTGGCTCCGCTGGGTAGACATAGAATCGAAAATCTACTTTACTTAAATTCAATTACAAAATTTAGATCTACATTCGATTCAAAATACAACCATAATAAATCAAAAGTAGTAATAATAGGCCTAATAAAGCATTTAATTGTCTCTAAGATCTACAATCTCGCTCTATAATCTAATCATTTTTTTAGCAAACGAAATTTTCTGAAATTGAAATAGATTATATGACTAGACTTAAATCTAGAATCTGCTACTTAAATTAAATTTTAAAAAGTTTATACAAGCATGTAGTTGATATTATTGTAGTAGAAGTCTTTAATAAATTACTTTGTGTCTTTTTACAGCAATATGTATCTGATACTGGTCTGAGTTTAATTAAATTCAAATGCATATTTATTAATTAGTCTACTAAGTTTACGTAGCCTAGTAGTAGAATCTAGATCATACCAGCCAACAACAAATAACTACAGTATTATTACTTGGTTAATGATTGGGCTAATTTTTTTTAAATCCACTGTTTATAAAAGAAACAAATCAAGCTAGAAACATTATAAGTGAGATGGTTTAGAATAATAACAATGAACCCAGTCTACAATTGATACACTTGCAGGTCTACATAGGGCCTACAGTCTAGTAGTTTACAGTATGCACCTAGTGTGTAGCTAGTATACTAGTGTGTAGCTTTCCAGAGTTAAGATTGTTGGGTGTAAAAAGGGATACTAACTAGGCCTAATCTGCCTAAATGCTTTCCCCTGATGAGCCATGTGTGCTATAAATGACATAACATGACATCGAGGTGAGAAAAGGCTTTCCCCTTTGTTCTCCCTGCTGGGCTCTGAGGGTCAAAATTATATAAGAGATACTATCTCTGTGTGGCTGGGTATCACGGAGGTGAGAAATTTTCAGGGGAGGGCAGTGGTACTGACTCCTCTTTGGTTTTATTGTGGGTTAGAAAAAGGTGAGGGCTGACCATCATGAGGGTTGAACATCAGTATTAATGTGTATGATCACTTCCCTGCTGGATTATAAGTGTCTTAAATTGTAGAACATGCTACTCAGATTGGCTGAGATCTAAGAACAGCAGTGGTTATTACCCATGAATTATATTAGCCGTTGTAATGTGGGTTTTGTAGGAGTTAAGTGGTCTCTCGTTTGCTACGATAGTGTGGTGGTACTAGATCTATTGCTACTAAATCTTGAACTTAGCAGATAATCTAGAATCTACATTAACCAGATCTAGATAACCTATAATATATTACTGCATTTGATCAGATTTGTCTACTTAAACTCTAAACGCAAACAGTATTACTAACAGTATTTTTATTTAGAAATTTCGGCCACATATTTATATTATACACGAAACTGTCAATAACAATATAAGGATCTTCAATTCCTAAGAGTTCAAGTTTTTTAACATATTTTTCCTTTTCCGCGGGTGCGGTTCTTTACATACAGTGAACGCGTCCAGCGCTGGTAAACAGCTGATTGTGTTTACGTCTGGTGTACACCACTGTGGCGGCGGAACTAGGTATCAAGTGATTTAGATCACGTGTTTTCAGGGACTCTATTGTCAATGACAATATTGCTGCGCAGATTTGCCACCCCTGACGCTAGGTGGCGACAAGTACTTTTAGGTTATACTATTTGTAAGTCTTGTAATCGTGCAAAAAAAATCGAGATTTTTATAAATCTCGACGTTTTACACCTCACTGATACAGAAAAACATAATTTTGCAATCTTGTCCGTATGTCTGTGTGTCTGTGTGTGTGTGTGTCTGTCTGTCTGTGTGTAAACACGATAACTTGAGTACCGTTACATCTAGGTTGATGAAATTTCATATATAAGTATTTTATCTAAATCGTAGATCCTGATCAACTTCCCGATAACCGGAAGTGGTACTTTTTCTACTTTGAATTTTTCAAAAGCCTATAACTTGAGTACTATTTCAGATAGACAAATGAAATTTCACATGTAAGTAAAAGATCTAATTCTCTACCTTCTGTCAAATTTTGTGTAATTTCCGTTGACCGGAAGTACTAATTTTCGCTATTTCCGATTTCTTAAAAAACGCATGTAAATTTATAAAGTATTAATAATATTGCGCACTATTATGCACATTTTGTTTTGGCGTTCGCTTGGTGCGCAATTCTTTTTTGTATGAGATTCTATTCTATTTTTAAAAGTTTAAGTAATTAAAAATCATGTATATATTCCAAGTTATATAAGAATATTCGAGAAAGTTTAGGCAAGATCACTCCCGGTTTATTTTGTAACATTTTTGCTTGAGATTCAAGGGAAACCACTCTATTTTACAGATGGCCGCTGTTTATATTGGAAATCTTGCTCGCACATGATGCCTACATTTATATTGATATTATATTTAAATATGAAATGACTTCACGCGTTTTTTGACGATTTTTACCTCCCCCCCCCCGTCATAAAAAGCCAGACTTCCCCCTAAAATGACGTCGCACCTCAGCCCACAACCCCCTCAAAATTGCAATTGAATTTTTCTTAAAAATCAGCCAACATGGAGAATTTGAATCAATTACTATTACAATTTATTTAAAGTTTTCTAAAACGCGAAATAACGGCTAAAATTCGTTTTTTTTTATAATGACTTTTTTATAATGCAAAAGTGTTACGTCACACGATCGGGATCCTCTCCTCCTTATCACAAACCGACACAATGAGTGTGATGTCATTTATGGACGACCCCTTTGAAATGGCCGATGACGTCATTTTATCTCCACCCCCCCCCCCCCCAAAAAAAAACAACCCAACAATAAACCATGCTGTATGAACGCGTGGGCCTACTTGGGGTCACAGTGAGTTCAAGATAGCCCTATTTACTTTAGTTGTTACAATGTGTATCTCCCTTCCCCGTGAAGTAATTGTAGTTTACCCAGGAACGGAACTACCATGCCGCCAGACCCCGCAATCATAGGCGTAGTGACCCTTCCCGGCGCCCGGGGAAAATTTTTTCGATTTGCACCCCCCCTCAAGATTTTCTTCTTCGTTCTTAACTTTTAGCGTTGGGAGGAACGAGCCTTATCTGCCAGAGGGTTTGAACTCGAGACTTTTTTCGAATTTATCAACCATCAGCTTTGCCGACTCGACCATGCTTCCATCACAATTAAGGATTACGTGTCAACTGGTTTTGCGAAATTGAGGCCATTGACTTCGATTTCAGCCTGCTTTTCTTTTTGGATTTGCTTCCTTAGCCTTTGTCCAACCAACACAAACTACAAGGCAGCAATTGTTTGATTTTGGAGTTGTCTCTCCTAGAAGAGTGGCTGTCCTCAGCTAACGAGCCTCATCTACCCGAGGGTTTGAACTCGAGACTTTTCGGTTTAGCAACCATAAGCTATACCGACTCGACCCAGGAACTGAACTACCATGCCGCCATACCCCGTAATCAGAGGCCTAGCGACCCTTCCCGGCGCCCGGGGAAAAACTTTCGATTAGCACCCACTCAAGATTTCGATTTGCACCCCCCACCCTACACATTGCAATTTGCACCCCTCCCCAAACTTTCGATCTGCACCCCCCTCAAGCTTTCAATTTATTTTTCCAACCCATTTTGGCGCCCCCTAAGGAGAATAGACGATCCCCGGTGCTCTTCGTCTAAATTAATGATATACAAATTAATTTCAATTTTCAAACTTATAGTGTTAATTGACTTTTTATTACTTTGTTGTGGTGTTGGGAAAAAAAATTACATAATTAGCGTGAATGATCAAGTGAAATGTGGTAACTAAAACATATTTAAAATACTGCAAGTTATATATTTTTAAGTGCATTATTATACAAAAAGCTCGTTATTAAAACATCTTTATGAAAAAAAAAATTCTGTTAATACATGTGCATAAGTCATTTGAACATGTGTATGTAGGGTGTGACAATGTGGTGTAAAATGTGCTATTGAATATATTCATATAAGTCTTTTAAATGGTTTACAGTATCCATGATTAGAAAGACACTGCATATATTTTTGCATTTGAATGACGTTGAATAAGGATAACATTTAACATATTTAAAAAAATTTTTTTTACTAATAAGTAGCAGAAAAATATCTAAACAGTTTGAAAAGTCAAATGTTAACTTTGCATCTCATGCCGAACAAACCTTTGTTGTCTGACACTGAACTCAACTACCTGGTATGTTAAGGCATTAAATCATCAGAAAAAGCTCAAATAAACCCCAGCATTCAACACACAGAGGTCGTATTGGAATTAATGTAAGAATACAAGTTTTTAGTAAAAAAAATATAAAAAATTGATACATTTTGTTAGTGATTTTTAATTGAATGTTACAGTCCCACAGCAAATGACTACAGACATTTTTTCATTAAAGTGTTTTTAAAAAAAATGAACAAAACAAAGCATAAATTATGCTAAAAATACAATACCAAAATGTCAAAACATAACCGTTGCAGGTTTAGTCTTCTTGCGTTTAAATTTATAACTTGTATGTGGATTTACTATTTCAAGCATTAGAAACTGATAGTTGTGTCAGGGAATGACCCCGCTGAGACCAAAGAAAAAGATCAACTATATGTTTAGCTGCAAGGATGGTCGAAAATGGGTAATTTACTATTATAATTTATTAAGAACAATCTTCTCTAACTCTAACCTTTTAATTACATTAAAATTTATGCAATGAACCTCTTGCAATATTTGTATATATACATAGATATATATAAGTAACCTAGAAGTAGAACTTAAACATTATCTTTTTATTTATATATACAGAATGTGAATGAGTTAAAAATTAGAATGTTTGTTCCATTGATGCTTCAACAATTTAAATAATACAACATAACCACTATTCTGGGTGAAGTTGTCATGACAAACAATAGATTTATAAAATTTATTTCCAGTATGAATTTATTTGTGCCTACGTAAACTAAAACTGTCAGAAAACCTTTTATGTATGACAAACATCACATACATAAGGTATATCTCCTGAATGAACTCGTTTGTGTTTTGTTAAAACAGAATTACTAGAAAACTTTTTATGACGAACATTACATTCATATGGTTTTTCTCCTTAATGAATACGTTTGTGAATTATTAAAGCAGAACTGAAAGAAAACCTTTTATAACAAACATCACATTCAAATGGTTTCTCTCCTGAATGAAGTTTTTTGTGTTCCATCAAATTAGAATGGACAGAAAACTTTTTATGACAAACATCACATTCATACGGTTTATCTCCTGAATGAACTCGTTTGTGTGTTGTTAAATGAGAACTGCTAGAAAACTTTTTATGACAAACATTACATTCATATGGTTTTTCTCCTGAATGAATACGTTTGTGAATTATTAAAACAGAACTGAAAGAAAACCTTTTATGACAAACATCACATTCATAATGTTTAACTATTAAATGAATTTTTTTGTGGCTGCTTAGAGCAGAACTATTAGAAAACTTTTTATGACAATCATCACATTCATGTAGCTTATCTCCAGAATGAACTTTTTTATGTTTAATTAACCTAGAGCTATCTGAAAACCTATTATGGCAAGCATCACATTCAAGTGACCTCTCCCCTGCTTGGGTTTGTTTATTCAAGTTAGATCTTTGAAAAAACTGTTCATGATGAACATGAGGATCAACCGAGAGATATGTTTCATCTTCAGAGAGTTTAAGCTTTTCTTCAAATCCATTTTATTGTTTGTCCTCGGAATCTAAAAATTTCGTCCATAAATCTGGTTTTATATCATTGTTGGTTGATAAAGCTTGTAATTCTGGTTTTTTATCTTCACTAGTTGATAAAGTTTGTAATTCTGGTTTTAAATCTTCACTAGTTGATAAAGTTGTTAATTCTGGTTTTACATCTTCAGATCTTGTACACACTGCTGATAAAGCAGGTTTTGTATGTTCATGAATTAAAAATCCTGCTTTTACATCTTGAGAAGTTAGAAATGTCATATTGTGTTTTACAGCATCAAAAGATGAAAATGGTGTACATTCTGACTTTGCGTCTTTAGAAGATGAAAATTCTTGCATAACATTGGTTTTAACATCCTCTGAAGTTAAAAATGTCAAGTTTGGTTTCGTATCACGGAAAGTAAAAAATGATGATACTTCTGTTTTTATGTTAGAAGAAGATGAAAATACTGTAGATAGAAGTGGCTTAACATCTTCAGAATTTAAAAATTCTGGTAATTCATCAGACTGTAAATCTAAATCACTAGTTTCCTCTCCCATGTTGCACTGCTTCTTATAAATGAACTGAGGATTAAATATTTAAATGTTAAAGTTGTGATTATATAGCCAAAACAAAGTATATAATATATAAACATAAAAAGTTGTGCTGGCTGGTGTACACATGGGTAGTCATGATTCCTTTATTATATTATCTAAACGACACTGGAGGAAATATAACAAAAAGAGGATGACCATACATTTTCTGGCTAAATTAAGGGAAAAATTCAAGTTGCTTTCAATTTTTCAAATATTTTAATAGGTCTTATAATAAGTGAGCTCCTTTCCAATTTTTTTTTACTTCATTTTGTTTTTACAGGTGGTTAAAGATGCTTAACAGTCGTCTTAATAAAGTCTACCATTACTATGTTAGTATTTATCCCTCTGAAATAAAATAAAAATTGACATTTTTATAATTTAAAATATTGCTATAATTATAAATAATTATAGATCAAGTTTATAAGGGACGGAGTGGTCTAGCGGTAGAGAGCTGGACTGCTAACCCGTAAGTCACGAGTTCGAATCTGGGTTCAAGTTAGTAGACCATCCTTGAGTCCACCCAACTCTGATGGGTACTCAGGTTAGGGAAAGTAAAAGCGGCTGGGCATAGTGCTGACCACACTATCTCTTCATATGCTGAGGTCACAGAAACAAGTGAACTCTACTTCACTTGCCCCATAGACCGTCAGGTTTGAAAGGGAAACTTTATAAATCAAGTTTAACGCTTTAATTTAACAGCCCAACAGAGCTACGTTGTTTACTAATTTTTTTATTTATTTTATCTATGTTAGGTCACAGGGAATAAAATTTCAGATGGACAATTTTGGCAGATACGCAATATTCTCAGATAATCTCACATGAGATTATAAATATTCTCTTCCTTTTGAGAGGAAATAAGCTGTTTATTTTCTGATGACTGGGTCCTAATAAGATACACAGCTCTTAGTGACTTGCTTTACCTATTTTCTTAGGCTATCCCTTACCCTTAAGCCTAATCCTAAAGTCTAACCTTAACACCAAATCTTAGCCTAAGCTTTTAATGCTATTTGCACTAATAACAACAAAAAACAACGATCAAGACAGGTTTTAAAACTGAAAACAGTAGGCCACAAGGGTCTACTAAATCATTTGTCTAGGTATAAAAAGGGATATCGGGTCTGCTAGATTTTTTTAATTTGAGCAATTCAATGTTGACATAACAATTAACAGTTTTATTTCAACATGAAAGGTAGGGGCAGGTTAAAAAACAGAATGTTATTGAATCTTGTAAAAAGACAATACAGTGTCAGATGATAGTCCTAGGTCTAGCTGATCTTACTGTTCTTTAGTAAATTGTTTTTAGCACAATCTAGCATTTGTGATAGTAGATTTAAGTTCACAAGTATATGTGAATTACCAAAATAAAAATGGGATGATTTTAGATACAGATGTCCGATAATAGATTCTTCCATAAAATAGTTGTGTTGGTTTGTTAGTAGTATTGTAATCTTGACTAATTTTATGGTTAAAAATTAGGGTTAGGCATATGGTAGGATTAGGGTTGGGGTTAGAGACAGGCTTAGCATTGAAATATGCCATTGCCAGCCATGCGTGTATTTAGTTAACTACAAGTAATCTAACACCCCCTTTTTAAAGAAGATTCAATTTTTAGACACTTGTATAAAAATTCCTGGTAATCTAGAGTTTTGGGTACGAAAAATCGGCCGAGGCTAGCAATGTGCGACAAAGTTGTCTCATAGTTAAGGCTTTAATAGAAGTAAATTGTGATATATTTGTGTCAAATATTATAGATAATGGAATAATAAACCAAAACAAAGGCTAAATATATCAATATAGGCCAGAAAGTTACTTTAAACAGCAGTGTTAGCTAGCAATATTTGCTATATAAACAGCAGCCATTTGTAAAATAGAGTGTCTTCCCCTAAATCTCCCGCTATAAGTTTACCAAAAAAAAAAAAAGACGGCTGCTGAAGTAAACGAGCTTTGTTGCATCTGATGAAAACATTGCTAAACTTTATTTAATACTGAAATTTTTAATATAATTGTTTAAAAACAGCTACATGAATGAAAGTTTGAAACATTTTTTGTAACTTTTAAAACATATCTTCCTTAAAATGTGAAATAATTACTAAAATTTAATGCACGTTCTTTTCACATTACTAGTCTCGAATTCCCAATCATAGTTAATAGTAGTAGTAGGCATAAGTACTAAGTAGATATCTAGATCCAATATCTAGATCTATTACTGGGCCTTAATTTCAAATTTGTATGTATGTAGGCCAATGTAGGCCTAGAATCTATAAAATATTATTAGGCCTAATATTATTATTTAGGCATTAGGGCCTAGATCTAGATTAGATCTAGAGTTTATTATAGATATTAGTTAAATTTAATATAATGATGGAAGGATTCTCGTCAACTCGTTCGCCCCCATTAATGAAAACGAAACCGTGCCGATCTAGATTTTAGATCAAAATAAAAGATTCAAAACTAGATATCTAAATCGCTTCGACAGCTTGGGCCGTGATATAAAATTATAAAACAAACCCGCAAGCTGTGAACCGAACGGCCTTGGCATAGGCCAGTGCGGGATGGTTTTTTTCTCGGATGATAATAATTAAGGATTTTTAAAAAATATTCTAGATTACTCAATAATATTCAACTTACTCTTATAATATATCAGCTAGATCTAGATCTAGATCTTGATCTAGATCTAGATCTAGATCTGTCTTGTTTGTTGCTAGACTAAAGATGAGAAAGAAAGTTTAGTTTTTAAATACACTTCAGTACTCTTCAGCCAATTAAGAATAAAAATATGTATTCCATAAGAGTCCTTTCATATTTAGAGACTGCAAATTAACTTAGGATTAATTAAATGTAATGTAATGCGTGTAAGCTGTATACGCATAGGAATTTTTATAATTCATCTAAAAATATTTATTATGAAGTATGTAGATTGTAATTATTTTAAACTTAAGATTAGTTAATGCTAATATTTAATTAGGTCGAAGACCGACCCGGGAGGGTGACGAAAAACGCTATTCCCTTCGGAAAAAACCATTATGGTCGTTAGATTTGACCGGAAGACGTGTTTTATTATATAAGCAGAGCTACTTTATGTTAAATAAAAAAAAACACTATGTCATTTGTTCAATTTACAAGGGAGTTTGCTTTTTACTTTCTCGTATATACGAAGTATAGAGAAAGTATTGTAATCGTGCAAAAAAAAAATAGAGATTTGTGCAAATCTTGACGTTTTACACCTCCTTGAGTCGGAAAAACATAGTTTTGCATACTTGTACGTATGTCTGTGTGTGTGTATGTGTGTCTGCCTCTCTGTGTGTGTTTGTGTGTGTATGTGTGTGTGTGTGTAAACACGATAACTTGAGTACCGTTACAGCTAGGTAGATGAAATTTCACATATAAGTATTATATCAAAATCGTAGTTCCGTATCAACTTTTGAGCGATTTCCGATAACCAGTTTAACTTTTTCTACTTTGAATTTTTCAAAAGCCTATAACTGAAGTACTATTTCAGATAGATAAATCAAATTGTACATGTAACTTAGAGATCTAATTCTCTGCCTTCTGTCAAATTTTGAGTAATTTCTGTAGACCGAAAGTAGTAATTTTCGCTATTTCCGATTTCTTAAAAAACGCATGTGAATTTATAAAGGACTAATAATATTCCGCATTAAATCATGCACATTTTATTTGGCGTTCACTTGGTGTGCAATTCCTTTTTAACGAAATTCTATTCTATTTTAAAAACTTTAAGTATTTAAAATGGATTAAAAATCATGTATATATCCCGTGTTGCCACCACCTGTTTTTTCATATAAGAATATTCGAGAAACTTAAGGGGAGATCACTCCCGGTTTATTTAAAATAATTATTTTTCAAACTACCTCTTCTTCGTTCTTAATTTTTAGTGTCAGGAGGGGTCGAGCCTTATCTGTCAGAGGCTTTGAACTCTAGACTTTTTTTCGAATTTATCAACCATGAGCTTTTGCCGACTCGACCATGCTTCCATCACAATTAAGGATTACGTTTCAACTGGTTATGCGCCATTGAGGCCATTGACTCCGATTTCAGTCCGCTTTTCTATTTGGATTTGCTTCCATAGCCTTTGTCCAACCAAGAACAAACTACAAGACAGCAGTTGTTTGATTTTGGAGGTGTCTCTCCTAGAAGAGTGGCTGTCCCCAGCTAACGCGCCTCATCTGTCCGAGGGTTCGAACTCGAGACTTTTCGGTTTAGCAACCATGAGCTTTACCGACTCGACCACGCCGACAATTTTATACTATTTTAAACATAAACAGAAAATAGCGACGTATAGCATTCGTTTCAGTAAAAAATTTAAATTGTAAATTAAAGTATGTATACTAATTAAACTGTAGACATTAATTTTAAAAGTCAATGTAATATAAATTATGAGTTATACCGTTCAGGAAACCTCTGTAGTTGTAATTACCTTTTGATTTGTATATGGCGAACATCCTTTCAATTTCTCTGAAAACGTACTATAACAAAAAACAACAACAATAACAATTGCTCTAAAATTTGTCTAAAATTAGCATTACTGTTTAAACGTCAGCACTCCACATATTAGTAAATCACCAATTAATTAACCATTGACATTCTCAAATGCTTTTGAAAACCTAAGCGAAGCTAGGCAGTATGCCTAGTTTTCTATATAAGTTCTATTTCGTTCGGAGGTTGGAGGGGTGGTAGACTTTCTCATGGGGGGGGGGGGGGGCTGCGACCCTGGAGGATGCCTGAAAGAATGGGCATTAGACCCAGCCCCACAACTGTGTCCAACCCTGTGGCCATGGTTCCATGTTTTCCACTACCAAAGTGCATACAAATGTCGGTGGCTATTTAAAATGTTGGACATTTTGTATGTTGTAACTTGGCTCCTCCATCTCAAAAAGGTGGCCGGCCCCTGCTAAAGCTTTACTTTCTTCTAAATATTCAATCACTTCGTTCTTGTCTCTTGATTTCAAGGGATCCAAAATTTCTAATTAGAATTATTAAAAGCGCAAAATATAAGCGTTAACTTCTCAATTTTAAAAATTCAGCCGGTCAATGTTCTAATGCTTTTCTATATATTTTAGAGCAAATTAATTATTCATAAGTCCCAAATATATCAAAAGTGGACACAATATTACGGATTAACATATTAATTGCAGTATTAAAATTAATAACTAAAACAATCATTTTAATTTATATTGTATAATTACTTTTTTGTATGCAAAAATTAAAAAATATTTGCTGCTTCCCCTAGTTGTTCTGAATTTTGAAATGGGAAACAACTAATACACATGAAATATATGTAAATCGATTCCATTTTCAACAGTCAGCCATCGGTACCAGTTACACGTAAATTACCTGTGTATTTTAATGATATTTGAGAAAAAATATTTGATTAAATAGTCATTGTCTAGGTCGGGTGTCACCCGGTGCGGAACTTTTTGGTGTCACCTCCCCATTATAACAATTTAAAAAAAAAAGATAATTCCTTGCCTTCATTACTAGTGCAGTATCAACCTCAGAATAAACGATGAAGACGTCGATTTTGGTTTGAACTTTTGAAATCTTTTGTGCTAAGACAAAAAAACAATGCTACTAGATAGTATTCAACAAATAAGTCATAAATATACATAACTTCTACTTAGTTTGAACTCTCTTTTTAGCGGTAGGGAGCTAGATTGCTAACCCGAGAGTCTCGAGTTCGAATCACGGTTCACATAAGTGGAACGTTCTGAGTCAACCCAGCTCTGATAAGTACCTAACTCGAGTTAGAAAAACAAAGCTGACCACATTATCCCCTTCAATTCCACGGTCATTAAAATAGATAAAATGTACTTCATTTTACTTCTGTAAAGCTTTGCAAGACAAATGGTCACTTACACTTGGCTAATAGCTTTGTTACTGCTTGCCAGGGACAAACTTTCAAATTGTCGATTTGCACCCCCCCCCCCTCAAACTTTCGATTTGCACCTCCCCCTCAAGTTTTCGATTTGCACCCCCCACTCGAGTTTTTCTCTATATATTTTGCTATTTTTTTGCCTTGGTGTCACCCCCCTTAATGTTGTTACCCGGTGCGGTCCGCACCCCCCCCCCTCGCTACGCTAGGTGTTACGTCCCTTACATGTCCCCTGCTTGTGTGTGTGTTGTTTGCTGGAACGACAGCTACCCTCCCTTTGGTGTATAGTTGTATATCTTGGTTGAGTGTGTTTACATGGAGCGAGAGATGTACACGTGAGTGTGTCAGGTGACGGGTGTCAGAGCGTGTGCAAGTGTGTGAAGCAGTTAGTTGTAGTGTGGCTGTGGACGTGGAACGTGGTGTTCTTCTTCTTCTTCGTTCTTAATTATTAGTGTTGAAGGGGATCGAGATTTATCTGCCAGTGGGTTTGAACTCGAGACTTTGTTCGAATTTATCAACCATGAGCTTTTTGCCGACTCGACCACGCCTCCAACACAATTAAGCGTTACGTGTCAACTGGTTATGCGCCATTGAGGCCATTGACTCCGTTTTCAGCCTGCTTTTCTTTTTGGATTCCATAGCCTTTGTCCAACCAAGAACAAACTACAAGGCAGCAGTTGTTTAATTTTGGAGATGTCTCTCCTAGAAGAGTGACTGTCCCCAGCTAACGATCCTCATCTGCCCGAGGGTTCGAACTCGAGACTTTTCGGTTTAGCAACCATAAGCTTTACCGACTCGACCACGCCGAACCCCACGTGGTGTTGAGTATTGTTATTTATGTTGTAGATCGCTATGATATTTTAGTATTTTATAACTGTATATATATATATATATATATATATATATATATATATATATATATTAAATATCTTATTATTATTCTTATTATAGAGTGTTAGTGTTATCTATTGTTGTATACGTTATATTTGTCTGTTGTTATATATATATATATATACACCGCTAGACAGAAGAACCCAACACTAGGTTAATCGCTCATGAGTGCCTTTACGATGGCCAGGCATTCTACTGCCATACAAAGATCACTCCAAACATCAACATAAAAAGAACAGTCTGTTACAAAGTGTTTAAAAAGTATAAGCGTGGCGACTATACAGACAAAACAAACCATGAAAAAGACAACGAATGAGAAGAAGTGGGTGTCCCAATAACAACCGGTTTAGAGAAACTGTAAAAGATATAAACATTAGGGAAAAGTTTTGGATAGAAACGAAAAAAAAAATCTTATACATTGCTTTGAGAAAATCAAGGAACAAAAATTAATTCATTAAAAAGAACATTGGAGCTCAAACAAACTTTTTCTTTTTGATATCTCACTTTTGAACTTAGACCTACATATTTTAATAGTTAAGAAGCTTTAGTGAATAACTTGCAGTGTGAATAAATTGGTGAATATGGATTTTCATAACGTGTGCATTGATTTTCATACTATCAAAAAAGATGGTGCATACGTAATACTACGTTTATTTAATATTAACGCAATTATCATTACAAAAGATCGTCGAGTTTCGTTGTTTAATTGGCACGTAGATTTGATGCTCGATAGTTATAAATATAAGATGCGCAATAAACCATAGTTTATTAAATAATAACAAAAATGTATTGCGTTTTTGAAAAAAAACATATTTGCATTATTAATTATTAATATGTATTAATTGCTTCCCAACAAGATGAGCAGCTAACTGACGCTAAAATTTAGATGTCAGAGGCAAAAATAAAAATAAACTATAAATCGGAAGTGAACTCAAC